AAAACAAAAACAAAAAAAAAAAAGAAAAAGAAAAAAAAAAAAAAAAACAAAAAAAGAAAAAAAATAAAAAAAAAAAATATCAAAAGAAAAAGAAAAAAAACAAAAACAAAAGAAAAAAAAAAGAACAAAAAAAAAACAAAAAACAAAAAAAAAAAAACAAAAAAAAAATAATAAGAAAAAAAAATAAAAAAAAAACACAAAAAATTTTTAAAAAATTAAAGGAAAAAAAAAAAAATAAAAAAAAAGATTAAAAAAATTTTAAAAGGGAAAATTAAAAAATTTTTAAATAAATAAAAAAAAAAAAAAAAAAAAAAGATAAATAGATAAAAAATAAAGGAAATTTTTTAATTTAAACTTTAAAGAGATAATTTAATTTTAATATAAATATAATATTCACACAATCACAATTCACAGATAAACAATTAAATAAATTTGTTTTTATTAAATTAATTTACATTGTCCAAATCTGTGTTTTTGAAAAGATCAAGTAGTTCGGGAGCTTTAGGGTGTTGCTATAGTCTTCTGTCTGCATGAGTCCAATCCTGTAAACATGTTATGACTTCAACCATCTCATTGGTTAAACGACATATTCTGTCTTCAACAATGCAGCCACTAATTGAGAATATTAACTTAGATGCAATTGTCGAAACTGGCACAGATAAAATGTCACATGCCATTTGGGCTACAATAGTGAATCAACTTGCATTTTGGCTCCACCATTGAAGCAGATCCATCTCACGTTTCTCCTTCTTCATCATGTAGGAACATGTCCATTTGTAGGTACTGATACAACTCATTTGGTCCATGTCTATACGAGCTAGAGCTGCTACTTCCACTAACACCGCTATTGTGTTCCATATACATCTACATGCTCGATCTTTGTTGATAAATATATTCAACAGGGTCCTAGTCGTCTCTGCTGGCATTGGGCGGTCCATTGTACCTTGTCTGATATAAAGAAAAAAATCTTTCCAATTTTCTGTTAAAGTCTATCAAATAATAACTATAGTCATGATCTAAATGTCGGCCTATCTCAGTAACTATACATTTAAATACATGTAATTTAAACCTAGGATCTACAATAAGACCTAATCCATATAAGAATGGAATATTTAACCAATATTTCCAATATTTTGTTTCCATTTTTACAACAATGTCGCTTAAATTTGCATCATATCTATGTTTAGCAAAACTTTTAGAAATTTGAAGTAAAATATCTAACGCTACATTGGTAGTAGGATAATAAATACTACATAATGTATTAGTGGATCGTAAAAACTTTAAGAAATGAAATAAAAAACATTGCAAACCGTCCAATCATCATCGTTGATGACTTCATTCGGATAGGTCTTTCGGTTGACGAACTTTGTAATTTGTTTTGTGGTTAGCATAGCTCTTTGCAACATCAAGTACATGGAGTTCCAACAGACAAGCATGTTTATGCATAACTTCTTTGGTTGAATCGGCGGCTCCTCTTGGCAACAATATTTTACGTACTCAATCCATCTTGTATTGCTACCACCAATGAATTCGATAGCCACATGCACCCTTTCAATCCTTGAATGTATAGCTTCTAAACCTGCTTTAACAATCAAATTGATGATGTAACAAACACATCTCTAGTAAAAAAAATTGCCATCACCATGCAGATCCAATCTCTTTTCAAACACATCTCTGCATTATCAAACGTTAGCGCCACAACTCTCTCAGTTAATAAATAATCTTACAAAACTTCAATAATTATAAAATAAATTGTCTCTGCACTATGTTTAACATATAATGGTCTAAAACCTATCAATTTTTGTTGTAAACACCAAGTATGATCTAGGTGATGTATTGTGACACTCAAAAAATATGTTTTTGATTTAGCAGCCCATATGTCTTTGGTAAGCGCAATAGATATATTCCTAAAGCTTTCAAATTCTATTTTAAGTTGATCTTTTATTTTATTATAAAGTTTTAGTATGTCCCTTCCATTTGTACCTCTACTAACAAGGTTATATGCTAGACAAAAAACATATTTAATCATTTCAACAAAATAAGGATTTTCAGATAAAGAAAGAGGAGAGTCTCTAGCAATTATGTATCTTGTTATTGTCTCTCGCGCTTTGAGTGCATTGTATTGCCAGGTTGAGAGAGCTGATGATTGTGGATTAAAATTAAGTTGTGTTTGAATTTGCTTACCGGGTGCGATTAAAGTTGAACCGAACGGTCCGAGCTACATATATTAGGGGTGCTTCTTCTCCAAGTGTCACCGCATCATCGAAGTCCTGTGCTCAACGCCGATAAAGATTGCACAAAATTTTAGGCCCGAGTTTAGGCTTGAGCCCTATAGGATCAGTCCTCCCAAAGACCAGTCATGGGTTTGGTTTTTTGGGCAAAATTTTTGGGTAGAACCGAAACCGACGGGTACTCGGGTGTTGGTTTCGGTTCCTACTCGGAACCGGCCGTAATAGGGTAGGTTTCGATTCAAAAAAATTGGAACCGATACTGTGCGGTTCTGGTTCTGGTTCCAAAACAAAGGAACCAAAATTGGGAACCGAGACTAAATTGATATAATTTTATAGAATAGGGTTTTTTTTTTTTTTTTTTTTTTTTTTTTTTTTTATATATATTTTGCATATGGGGGGTTTTGATATTTTACATATCATATAAATATATAAGAAAATTTTGGTTTTTGTTATCTTACTATCAAAAATCTTATTAATTTTCATTAAAAGATTAGTTTTTAAAAATATTCTTATTAATATTTAAGTTTCACTTATTACTTGGCTAAGAAATTAATATACATTAATACATTTATGTTAAATAATAGTGTTTAAATGTTTATTATCGGTGAAAAAAAAACAATTAAATACTTATAATCAAGCATCAAACATCAAGTCAATATAAACAAATATATTATTTAATGTTTTGCATTTAATTTTTAGGGTGTAATTGTAATTTTATAAGGGTTTATTTGTTTATTTTTTTAAAAGGGGGTAATTGATATTTTTTAGGGTTCCGGTTCCGGTTTCGGTTTCGATTTCGGTTTCGGTTCTGGTTCTTTTGATTTTGTCCGCCCACCCTTACCATTAGGGCTGGACCCTAATTCCCACCTTTAATATTAAACGATTTTATGTTAATTTAAGGGTGAGAACTTGGAATAAATGAAACTAGAGGTGGAAACTTGTCATTTCACCAATCTTTGGGGGGAACATGTCATTTGTTAATTATTAATTGTTACTCATCATCCACGAACTTAATCTACTAAATTAACCATAGAATATATACTCTCTTTGACACTTTAAATTGTGTTTATTGTTTAGGTTTTGATTAAATTAAACAAATAGAATAATTTAATATGTAATAATTTTTAATTTTCTAGACTTTGTTATAGCCGCCTATGCTGACTGATCATGAGAGTGTTAATTTTGAGATAGAAGATCTTTATTTTTTGTAGATGGTAAAATCTACGGTTACAGAATGAGATCTGATCCTATGAGGTTGAGGCCATTGACAATCCGTTAAACCTACACTCAAAGAAAACAACCGCGAAGCTTACGTAAAACACCGGTGTGGTGTCTACCGTAAGCACTCCAACCTTAACTCAATAAGGTTGAATAAGATTATTTAGTGAGGGCTAAGTGAATGAAGGGTTACCAGAAGTTTAGTCGGAGACTAGAACTATGACGTAGGTGTATAACTCTTAGGAGCAAGAGCTTAGGAGCTAATAGGTGGTATTGAGATTGAATGCCTAATGAGAGGCAAGACCTCTCTTTATATAGTGGTCATAGGATATTCGAATCCTAGTAGGACTTTGAATCCATGTAGGCAGAGTTCTTATAAATAGGAAAAAACCTGATTTACTTGCCTTAGTAGGATTGAGTGAATTAGGATAAAACCCAAATGGGAAGTAGGTGTACTTAGGGTTTTAGTGGGATTCTGAACCCTTGGCGGTTACCACGGACTAAGGGGTTTGGCCCAAGGTAGGCCAATAGTGATGCCCAATATGAAGAGAGGCTAGGCTTAGGCCAAAGGTCTGACCCATGACATGAACTTTGACATAGGCCCAACCGGAATTGGGCCGTGACCTTAGGCCTACATAATAGATGTTATTTGTTTGTACCTGATAAGGTCCAAGACGATTTTTGGCCCATACATATTATTAAATTATATTCCTATTTTAGACTTTCACGAAGGAAAGAGACATGAAAATTGTTAAGGAATAAAATCATTTTGATTTTATTTCCTTATTATCATGATCATTATAATATTATCTTTCCTTATATTTTTTATTAACTTCATGATTAGGATGATTGTATTTCCTTATAGTTTTGATTAATTTCATTATTAGGATGATTATATTTCCTTGTATAGAATATGTTGAACCTATATATTGTACACTTTTATTAATATTGAATACACAATCATTTATACAATTCTTCACGATATCAAAGTAGTAATTACTCTTAGGTCCTAATTCTCTGAAAGCTAACAGTTTCCCTCCTGCAATAGGATTTTATCTTTTTCTTCTCAAAGCCACCTCCCCTTAACTTTGCGATCTTGCAAAGTCACCCATGCAATTTTTTTTCCAGATCACACTGCCCAGCTTCCTCGACTCTGGCGACTGTTCAGCTTCCTCGGCCTCGGTGACGACTCTGTCCTCTTCTCCAGTCATCTTCTGATCAGCACCAGCCACTATTCTCTTCTTCTCTATTGTCTTATCCGTGATTTTTTTTGCAGATTTGCTTGCTCTTCTCAACCGCCACAATTTGCGTTTCTCCGGCAATCGTTTGTACTCTCTAGCCATGCTCCAGTAGCACTCTACTTGTGCTCTAGCAATGCTTTAGCCGATTTCTTGTTTTGCCTTCTTGAAGCCTTTTTTTTTTCTCATGGCAGATTCATCAAAGTCCACCACTTCAACCGTGACTACCAACACTTCTGGTGTCCTCTTCTCGGTCAACTCTACTTCCTCAGTTGTTTAGCTGACAATCTCCCTACCATCCTTCTCCCTCTCCATGGGCAGTTTCCTTTACCCACCACCACACCAGCAAGTTCCTCTTACTCAGGTGCTCACTTCTACAATTAGCTTATCTCACTCGTTGACACTTATTTCACCCCAACCACAGCCTATGTTATTGCCACCCTTGCCTACCACAATCAACATCGGAAGCTACTTTTCTTATCTCATGAAGTGTGATACGTATCGCGCCTGGAAGTCCCAGTTTCTTGATGTCCTTGCTATCCACGACATACAACATGTCATTGTTGGTGATGCCTGTCCCCCTACACCCTTCCTCTCCAATGACACTACAAACCCAGCTCATTCCCATTGGTTACGAACCGAAAGATTGGTTCTAACATGGATCAAGTCTACCGTTTCACCTTCTATTGTCCAGAATCTTTTACTACCATGTACCACTGCTGTCGAAGCTTGGATCATACTTGACCATCACTTGAATCCTCTGTCTGGTGTTCATCTTCGTTCTACTCATGATCGACTGCGCAATCTCCGAAAGGCCACTACCCAATCAATGACTTATTATCTTATTGATGCTAAATCTGTGTTTGATTCCCTTTCTGCAGTAGGTTTTCCAATTCCAGAATCTGACTTTGTGGAATATATTGTTGATGGCCTCAGTCCAGAATATCAAGGGTTCATTACCACTCTCTATCTTCGGCCTTCTACTACCTTTGATGAATTGTTTGATCTTCTAGTTCAAGAAGAGCGGCTTCAATAGAAAAACTCAAGTTTGTCCACTCAGGCTGTGGCCATGGTTGTTAACCGCACTTTCTCATAGTCATATGGGTCCTCTAGCTCTTCCTCCAACCGGCACAACTACTGTTCTCACAATTGGGGCAATCGCGGGTGAGGCCGTAGTGCTCAAAATAATCAGTCACGCCAGCCGCCTTCGCCTTCTTTCTAGCCTCCTCTACTGCCTCTCCAGCTGGTGTTCTTCTATAGGGTGCTTGTTAGATTTGTGACAAACATGGGCATTCTGCTCGTGTTTGTCCCCAGCGTGGCAACTTTGCATATTCCGCAGAGACTTTTGCTACACCTTTTGCTGCTATGTCTGTGTGTGACCCCTCTGACTCCAATTGGATTTTTGATTCTGAAGCCACACATCACATGACACCCAATGCTACTACCCTGTCCTCTCTTCAGCCTCATAATGGTATGTCTTCTGTTCTAGTTTGGAATGGTCAGCCCTTGTCTATTACTCATAAGGGTGATGTATGTCTGTATGAGTCTCATAATTCTAGAATTATTTTGTCTGATGCTTTGTGTGTTCCATCTCTTCGTAAGAATTTATTGTCTATTCATAAACTTCCATTAGATACTAATTATGTTTGCATTATTGATTCGTCTGCCTTTGTTATCAAGGCAAAATGGACAGGTCAGATTCTTCTCTCTAGTCGCAGCAGTAATAGGTTATACTAATTATCGTCTCCTATTATCATTGCTCTTTCATCTGTTTGTGTATCGTCTGATGTCTGGCATCGTCGTCTTGGACACCCTTCCCCTACTGTGCTCGAGACTATGCTTGCCTCTGTGTCCAGTCCAGTTCAGGATCTCTCTACCGAGTGTCCAGTATGTCCTCTTGGTAAAGGCTATCGTCTTCCCTTTAGCAAATGGACATACACAGCTAAATCTCATCTCAAGCTCCTTCATCTTGATGTATAGGGTCCTGCTCCAGTCGCGTCATTGTCTTCTTTTAAATACTACTTATCTACTGTTGACGATTATAGTTGGTATATTTCGTTTTTTCCTATGTTTAAAAAATCTGATGTCACTGAGATTTTTCGTAAATTTAAATTAATGGTTAAAAACCTACTTTCATGTTCTATTAAATTTGTGCATTTTGATGGTGGTGGTGAATTTGATAATAAATTGTTTCGTTCACTTCTTGAGTCTCATGTTATTACCCATCAACTGTCATGTCTTTACACTCCTGCCCAAAATGGTGTCGTTGAGCAGAAACACCGTGACATAGTGGAAAAAAGACACTGCCTTTTATTACAATCTAACTTTCCACCATCCTTTTGGGTGGAGGCCTTTTCTACTATCGTCTTTCTGATTAACAGGTTGCCTACACCTATGCTCAAGCATCGCTATCCTTTTGAGGTTCTTTTTCAGCGATCTCGTGACTATAGCTTCTTGTGGACTTTTGGTTGTGCCTGTTATCCATTGCTCACTCTGAATATTGCTCACAAACTAGTCCTATGCTCTGCTTTCTGTATTTTTATGGGGTATGACTTGTCACATCGTGGGTATCGGTGCCTCCATATTCCTAGTGGCCGTGTGTACATTTCTCGACATGTGGTGTTTCATGAGACAACATTTCCTGGTTATGTCACTATTGCCACTTCAACACCACCTCATTCGAATTTTCAGCCTTTATTTGTTCCATGCACAGTGCTTCAGCTTTTCGATGCTCTTGGATCTGGGCTTGCCTCTTCGTCTACACCAGCCATGCCACCATCATCTACAACTATAGATCAATCTTTCAATTTAGTTCCATCCAACTCCACTGGTCTTCCTTAGTCTTCATCAGCTAGTACTCGTTCTTCTTCCATCAAGGATTTCCAATCGTCTCCCTTGACGCCTGCAGATTCTATGCCTCCCTATTCTACAACACCACCAGCACCAATCCGTCAACGGTATTGTAGTCTATAGCCTCCTCACCTCATGTGCTTCCACATTCTCTTACTGCAGAGACACTAGATCCTATGTTACATGAACCGACATCCTTCAAGTAAGCACAATCTGTCTCTCATTAGCGTTAGGCAATGTGTGAAGAATATAATGCCCTTCTACGGAATAATGCTTGGTTTATTGTTCCACCTAGTCCTCATCAGAATCTTGTTGGTTGTCGTTGGGTGTACAAAGTTAAACCTCGAGCTGATGGGTCTATTGAATGATACAAGGCTCGTCTAGTTGCGAATGGTTTTTATCAGCAACTTGGTGTGGATTTTGGTGATACTTTTAGTCTTATTGTTAAGCCTATCATTATTCGCACTGTTCTTGCTCTTGCCACAAGGCATGGTTGGCTGCTTCGCCAACTTGATGTCAAGAAAGCATTTCAACAAGGTTATCTCACTGAAGAAGTATTCATGGAGCAACCTCTTGGTTTCATTGATTCACAGCGACCCTCTCATGTTTGTTTACTTATTAAAGCTATCTATGGTCTTAAGCAGGCTCCTCGTGCATGGTACCATCGTCTATACTCCTTTTTTATTGATATTGGATTTACCAATAGCCACTCTGACTCCTCTTTCTTCATCCGTCGAACATCAGGATCTGTTGTGATTCTTCTTATCTATGTGGATGATCTGATTGTCACTGGATTAGACCCCTCTATTGTCATAGATTGTGTCTCTTCATTATATTCTGCATTTGCCTGTCGGGACTTGGGCTCTGTTGGCTTCTTTCTTGGCATGGAAGTTGTTCAGGATAATACTATTTTGTATCTGTCTCAACGACGTTATGTGGTAGACTTACTTAGACACTTCCAACTTGATTCTTGTGCTCCATGTGCTATACCCTTTAGCTCCTCCAAAGCATCACAGTCCTCAGATGATGATCATTTTCCTGATATGACCCTTCATCGCAATATGGTTGGTGGTCTTCAATATCTCACACTCACCAGGTCGGACATTGCCTTTGCTGTAAATTAGGTTGCTCAAAGATTGTCTGCTCCCACTCAATGTGATATGCATTCTGTCAAGCGAATTTTTTTGTATCTTAAGGGCACACTATTTCGTGGTCTCACTTTTCAGTGTGACCCTAGCGTTCATCATCTTGCCTATTCTGATGATGATTGGGTTGCTAATGTAGCTACTCGTCGTTCTATTTCTAGCGGTTGTGTTTTTCTTGGTTGCAATCTGATATCTTGGACTGTTAAGAAGCAATCTGTTGTGTCTCACTCTAGTGCTGAATCTAAGGATCGTGCTCTTGCTCATGATACTGCTGATGTTTGGTGGTTTTGTTATTTACTGAGTGAGCTTGGCATTCCCTTGTATTCTTCCTTACTGCTTCTTTATGACAATCAATCCAGTCTACATAAGGCAACTAATTCTGTCTTTCATGCTTGCACTCGACATATCGATATTGACCTACACTTCATTCGTGAGTTAGTTGCTTGCGGGGCCCTTCGTTTTCGACATGTCCCCACTGCCTCTCAGCTTGTGGATATATTCACCAAATGCCTATCTCGTGAGCGATTTCAGTCGCTTTGACTTCAATTACAACTTCGAGATCTACCACTTCAATTGTGGGGGAGTATTAAGGAATAAAAACATTTTGATTTTATTTTCTTATTATCATGATTATTCTAATATTATCTTTCCTTATATTTTTTATTAACTTCATTATTAGGATGATCGTATTTCCTTATAGTTTTGATTAATTTCATTATTAGGATGATTGTATTTCCTTGTATAGAATATATTGAACTTGTATAGAATATGTTGAACCTATATATTGTACACTTTTATTAATATTGAATACACAGTCATTTATACAATTCTTCAAAAACACCCTCTTGTCTCTTCAAATTAACCAATCAAGTTTATAATCCTTAATTTACTTGCAAGTTGCAACAAACCTCTTTCTTCTTCTTTTTCTTCTTTTTAAATTTGTTTGGAGTTTACTTTTCTTCTGAAGCAGATAGAATTAAAGAGAGAATTTGTTTTCACTAGCGACTAAAGCCTGAATATCAGTTTGATAAAATATATGTCAATAGCTTTGTTATCAACGAATATGATCCTCATATTTATCCATTAAACAGTAGCATCATTATCAACTTATCATAGGAAACTTCATGGACATCTACCCTGTAAAATAAGAGCTAGTACACAGCAAAAAAAAAAAAGGGGGGGGATTTTAGACTTCCCGAAAAGTCTGTAAATAAATCTATGATGAAATGCCTTCTTTAATTTAATGGCATTCACTTTTGACATATAAAGAAACAATAGTCTCAATTTTCATCAAATACTTAAACCATCAATAGGTTTACATGTAATTGTAAATCACAATATAATTGAACCGCATTATTTGTATAAATGACACTCAATACATTAAAACAATAGATCCCAAATACAAGAAAATGACTGATAACATAACAGACAACATTGTCACAGATGGTGGAATGCGGCATGTGTCCTTCCTCATAACCATCCCTTCAATGATTGCATAACCAATAATCAATATATAAAATGAGAGTAAAACTTATGCAAACATCTTCTCCCAATCTCCAGTAATGATCATTCTAAGAACTCCCCAAAAGAAAGCTACAATGTTCAAAATAGTCAAGGTAACCAATGGAGCAAGGAACATGGTTGAAGTCTGGAGATCAAATATGCCCATGAGGTATCGCTTAGCTTGTTCATCATCATCAGCTTTGTTCGTGGGCACAAAACTAGCTTCTGACAATCCAAGCTTCGACATTATGGCACTTAAAGTTCCATAGAAATAACATGTAACCCTTTTTATCATCTATATCCTTTGTTCATTTCTCCATATCCTGATTGATCCTCCCGTTTTAAGAACCTCATATAAATGTTTAGATAATGATGATAGAAAGATGAATAAGGATATGTAAAATTTGGAGTTCGAAACCTGTGAGTCAAAAACAAATGAAGTATCAGCGGAATATCCAATAGAAATAAACATAGGGAAGAAGAAGAAATGATAGAATGAGAAAGGAAGGGTGTTACCTCTAGGAACAAAGGGATGCCA